CAAGAGAGGGCTAGTGACAGAAGCCAGTTCCTACTTTCTACGGACCTACAAACAGATTTTGATAATAATATCACACCCCTAATGCCCTGAATAACTTCTAGTATGCAAGATTCTTGCCTTAGAGATATACATCATTGTGAATCATAAGGATTGCAAATCGTTACCATCACATTTTACAGATGAGGACACTGGGCTCAGAAAGGTGAGTGATTTGTGATCCAGGCCTCCAGCTCCAATTTGCACAGACCTAACATACTCAAAAACCAATTGTACATAATAGCCCACCTCTGTTGTCCTAGCCAGAGTGTCTGGGACCGCGTAGGAGTGGATGAAGCCACCGTGGAAGGTTTTACTAGGTTGGGATGTCTAGGGCCTTGCCATATTATAGCTTTAAAATGATACCACTTAGGCACTTGCTTACTTTGTCTACACTAGGGCCAGCACAAAAGCCCAGGTTAAAAAAAAAAAAAAATCAGCATTTATCTTTTTGGTGTATGTATCAATGGGTAAAGACAAAGATCATAATGATGGGCTGAAACTAATAGATATAATATCACAGAGAAGATTATATCTTAGATTTTATTAAGTTTGTATTAAGCTGCCATTTAAAAAATACGGCAAGTCAAACAGATTGAGGCATATACATTTAAAAAAACAGCATCCCTAGGAAAGGTGGGGGATGGATGAAATAGGTAATAGGGGTTAGAGCGTGCCCTTGTCATAATGAGCACTGAGTACTGAGTAGAAGTGTTGAATCACTGTATTGTGCACCTGCAACTGATATGACACCATATATTAATACCTATACTGGTATTAATGACCTAACTGGTATTAGGTATTAATTAATACCTAACTGGTACTAAAATTAAAAAAAGCTTAAAAAAAAGATCCTTGAAAGACTGAACAGGAAGGTACAATACAATAGATAAGAAAAAAATAAAAATAACAATCCTCTCCTTCCAGAAAAACTAGATTGTAAAACAAAATCACTTGAACGCAACTTTTGGGCAGTGATTTTTCACTGGTTTTCCTTAGAGACTAGTTCAGTGACTTCAAACGGAATATTTAAAAGCTCTCTACATAGATCATACTACGAATTTTCAACGAACTACAATGCAAAATGTTTATCATTACAACAGAATATTTTTTAAAACGTTTTTCACCGTTCATATTTCTTTTCAGTCGCCCACTCTTACTGGGTTAAATAAGGTTAGTAGCCATTAGGAAGTCATCCTATACTACTGAATGCCTTAAAACGATAATTGGGAGAATACAGGCTGACCTAGAAAGAATACATTCCCACATTTTCTTTTCTACCACCACCTGTGGCTTGTATGTTGTGCCCACAAATAATCACAAGCTTACATTGTCCTATCCAGAGGTGGGAGGAGTGTCCCAGCTGGAGGCTGATCTGTGTAGGAGAAGATTCTAGCATAAAGGCCCTCCAAAGGAATCCACTCAAGCCTCATACCAGATTTGGGAGGGCTGGTCTTACCAGCCTAAAGCTGGCACAGGAAAGACACCACTAAGCAGTCACGTGGCCGGGGACAGTGGGGATACAAATCCTACCTTGTGACTCTGGTGGGACTCTCCTTCCATCCTTAGTTTACAATCTTAAGCTCAGTTTACAATCTGAAACATTCAGACACACCTCAGCTACCCGAGTGAGGCCACAGAAAGGTCAGTTCTTACCTTCTACTCTTCCAAGGTTTATGGCTGAAAGCATAAGAGACTGTTAAAAACTGAGAACAAACTGAGGGTTGATGGGGGGTGGGAGGGAGGGGAGGGTGGGGGATGGGTATGGAGGAGGGCACCTGTTGGGATGAGCACTGGGTGTTGTATGGAAACCAATTTGACAATAAATTTCATATATTGAAAAAAGTAAAACAAAACAAAACAAAACAAAAAACAAAGTTTATGGCTGGATCACAGATTGACCTTCCTCCACTGAGTGAATGAATTGAGAGAGAGTGGGGGGGAAGGAAGGGAAGGAGGAGGAAGAGAGGTAAGAAGGAGGTGAAGAAAGGTAGGAAGGAAGGAAGGAAGGAAGGAAGGAAGGAAGGAAGGAAGGAAAAGGAAAGTGGCTTGACCTTGAAGAGATTGGACCTCCAGTGCCAGGAAATTTGGAAGGCATATTCTCCAGAGTGCTTATTTTATTTCCAGCATTACATAAAACCCTTAGGGAAGGCTATTAATTGATCTGTGTATTAAATTACACTCTTTCATACTCTAGAGGCCTGAAAAAGTTAATTTACCATTTGAATGGTATGAATGATGAATACTTACACCAAGGCCAGGCACTTTACAATACTCGACAGGCATTTAGCCTTTTTTATTGTTTTGGTGTGCTTTATTTTTTATTAGTATCTATGGAAAAGGAAAATAAAATAGTTATGTTCTGTTGGGGATAGCAGGACAGCTCCTCGACAGTGAAAGATGCTTCAACATAGGGCCCTGGAGGAAGGAGAGACGATCAGAAAAGAAAAGAGAGGGAGGGAGATGAGGCCAAATCCCTAGCCTCCTGTGCACCTACCCTTTTTATTCGAGATGGGGTAACTTTCTTTCTCACAACCTTGGGTTTCTTTAACCCCCATGCCTGTCCTATCAATGCTTTATGAGCTGTCATGTGGGGGCTAGAATGGGATTCTGAAAATGAACAGCTGATTTTTATTCCTCTGGATATATCAGTTGCCTGGAGCACTGAAATCATGGGAATTGGTTTTGAAATGAAATGTCACTTGTGGAAGACACGTGCATTATAATTTGTTTAATTTAAACAATGCGGGGGGACGGCCATCGGAACTGCATTTCATAGGCTAATGGATGTTTATTGGACTTTGGATACTATAGAACTGGGACTTCTGTACTGAGGGGGCGTGATTACATAGCGATCTTGCAAGACGAATACAGATCAGCATGAAAACAGCTGTGCCCTTTAGTTATTTTGCAGGCAAATATATTTAATCACATAAGGTAACCCTGGATGTGGCGGTAAGGATGCCTTTCTGTTCCAGAAAATGATTGGTGCGGAACCATCGGATTCCACGTCTCCATAAAGAGAGGGTGTGATGAGGGAGCGAGTGCGGGAGGAGCCCAGGCAAAAAGCGTTTTTTAAATAGATCCAATACAGTGAATGAAAATACAGTGAATAAAGGAGTCACTGGGCACAGAAGAAAACAGAACGAAATTTCCAAAGTAGCTCTCGGTGAGCCAAACTTCCAGACACGCAACACACGATCCATGTGAGAGAAAGGCTTGCAGATTGCCAAAGGCCTGCGGTTAACCACAGCGAATGTTGGCTCTGGTCCCTCCGGAGACCCCAGCAATTGGTTGAAATAAGGGAGACTAGCATTCAGGGCGCGCGTGGGGCTCCAGGGCGTTCCAGAAGTCTAGAGCCCGCGTCCCTCAGTGCTGCCTGCCGGCCCAGCAAGTGGGCCACCCCTCCGGGAGCATTCTTCTCTGCTCCCCACCTACCTGGCTTACGCCCCAGGGGGGAGGGAAACCGAGAGCCAGGTGCGACCCAGCAGGGGGAGTGGGTGAGCTGGTCCCAGGGCAGCCCGCATGTGTCCTCGAGCGTGGGTGTGGGGTAATTTGGGTGGGAACAAAGTGGAGGCTACCGCGACCGAGTCCCGCGCCTCGCTGGCGGGGTGTGTGCAGAAAGAGCGAGGATAAATAGGAGGCTCCCTCCTCCCAGCCCCACTCCCGGAGCCGGCCGCCCGCCCGCCCCGGGTGTTTGCCCGCCCTGTGGCCGGGGTGCCAGCCTGGGGAGTAGTTTCGTTTCCTGCTGGCCCGAGAGTAGTTTCCAGGCCCGCCCTCGGGCGCCCGCGGCCCGGGAAGGGGCTCAGGAGGAGGCGGGGGACTCGGTCAGGGGCTGCCCGGCCCCGCAGCGTGGGGTTGATGGACCGGGCCGCCCCGGCCGGCGGCGCCAGCTCCCTGCCACTGCTCCTGGCCCTCGCCCTGGGTAAGTGGCGCGCCGGGCACTGGAACCCCAGGAAGAAAGTCTGGGGTGGAGTGGCCTGGAGGGCGAACCCTGATCCGCGCGGGCCTTTGGACCCCAGGGCGCACTGGGGGCTGCAGCTCAGGGGCCTGTCGGAGCACCGGGACCATCCGGCTAGCGCTGGGTTAAGGCTTGGGCACTTGGCACCTAAGGCTGCACCTGTCGGGGTTTCCGGAGGGTGGAAGGATCCCGTGGGCCCGGCTGCTGGGGCTGCAGACGTGAGCTCAAGTGCCGTCGGGGCAGTGGGGGCGCCTTGACCTCCCTCGAGTGAGGCGCGTGGGAGGCCAGTCCAGCAAAGAAGGAGCAGGAAAGACCGGCCGGAGAAGGACCTTTGGAGGGAAGCAGAGGACCGAGCAAGGTGGTGAGCAGTTTGGCAGGTGTGTGCGCGCCCTGGGCGTGTGCGAGAGTTAGAGACTTAGGGGGATGGCTCCAGGAGAGCCGGGCATAGATTCTGACACCCAGATCTTGTCAGGGAAGTTGGGAGGGGCTGGAGGAGAAAAGGAGACAACTTCTGAGACCTCAGTCTCCTGCTGCTGATAGGGAAATGGCATATTCTGCCGAGGACACTATCTAAGAAAGGCAGAGGTGTTTTGCTTGGAATATATTATTTCCTATTTTCAGAAGAAAGTGGGGAGGGAAAACTTTTCTTCGTTGAGAAAAATTACACTTGGGCTGTTAGGTTCAGGAGCACTGGGTGCTTTGCTGGTGAGGAAGGGTGGTGGGGATGGAGGCGTCTCTATAACTGAAGTGTCTACGTGATTATCACTCCTGCCTTCAAGCCTGGGAAGGACTGGAGGGGTCCATTTCTCACGTGGAGGGGAAAGAGGTGGAATCTATATGGACACTTTGATTTGGCTGTGGTCCTTGGAGTAAGAGAGGTGGCTAGGTGTCACGACCTTGGTTGGAAGTGCATCTGACTTAGGGCCGTGATTAGAGAGAAGGGACTGACTGATTTAAGAAACCCAGCAGAGGAAGAAGTCGGTAACCATGTGATCGGGGCATCATGCGGAGTCTGAAGAAGAGCAGTGGGGGTAGGGAGTTAGGCTCAGAAAACGGTGCTGATGCTTTGGACGGCATCACTCAGATGAAGCAGGTGTTTTCTTCCTCCACCTTGTCTGGACTGTCCAACAGAGTATTGACTGAGAATCTGTTACCATCAGCCAGATGTTAGAGTATATGGAGATAGGGGTGGGAAGAGGGCTCAAGAGATTCCTAAGACATGAGTCTTGCCTTCAAGATGTTATGCTGAATTTGGGAATGCCAGACCCACCGGTAGGAAACAGTAAGAGAAAAATTCATAAAACCAGGGAAGGGCTGGCTCACCAGTGACAGACGGAGTAGGGGAAAAAGCTGTGGTAAAGGACATGAGTGGGTGCTTCGATGCTTGGGTAACATTTGAAAATAGGGAAGAGAGGCCAATGATAGAAGGTGCGGTGTGGGTCGAGATGGGGAGCTGTGGGCCCGAGGACCTGATTGTCTGACAGGCAAAATCCGGGGGTGAGCGAAGCAAGACCTAGGTGAGCGCACTGTGCCAGCAGAAAGGTTATGGTAGGAGGGGTTGATAGACATTCTTCCCCCTGTGCTATCACATCGTGCTTTATTTTTTCCTCAAAACATGTCGCAAGGCAGAAATGGAAACAGCAGCAACAACAAAACTCTACTCTAGTGCTGTTGTACCCTCAGGATAACCTGGTTGTACATCTGCCCTGTTGAATGTTCGGTTTAGGGAACCGAATCTAGGCTCCAGATCCCCTAAGCTCCACTGCTTGCAAAATTCCGAAGGATATAAGTGGTTGGCATCAGCGTTCCCGTAAAGTGATTCTAGTTCTCTCGCACACGCTTAGCTTAACTTTTCGGTCTCGTCCCTAATTTAAATCACATGTTCATGTTATTTACTTTTTGAACAAAATGTGAGCAATGCACTGTGTGCTGCACGAACGTGTGTGTGACTGTGGAAAGTGCCTTGAGAACCCTGTGTGTGTGTGTGTGTGTGTGTGTGTGTGTGTGACCGTGGAAAATGCCTTAAGAACTGGCCTGGAGCAGACATGAGACCTGGTTCCAGCTGGGCCATCCTGTGACTCTGAGATGTCTATAAATGACAGCTTTCTGGACATTGTTTTTTTCATTTGTAAAATGAAGGGGTTGCTTTAGATGAGCCTACGGTCCTTAGCAACATGACATTGTACTCATCTTTAACATTTCCACTGGGAAGTTTAAGAGAATTCTTTGTACAACACTGTTTCACTTCCAGTCACTTTGTAAAGGGATCTTTGTTTCATGCAAACTTTGTAATAACAGAGAGAACCATGGATGCATATTTCTTTGAGAAAGACATTTCTTTGGGAAAGAGGCAACAACTGTGCTTAAAGTATTCTTTTTTTTTTTTATCCCAAAGCAATCAAACTATTCCTTTTTAAATTCTGTTTTTGAATTCCTTCCTCTCATCCAATTTCCGTGTAAAACTAAAACTGAGGGGCGCCTGGGTGACTCAGTCGGTTAATCAGTCCCACTCTTGATTTCGGCTCAGGTCATGATCTCCTGGTTCTGTGGGATCGAGCCCCGAGTGTGGCTCTGGCTCCTCACTCTCAGCATGGAGCCTGCTTGGGACTCTCCCTACCCCTCTCTCTCTCATCCCCTCCCCTCTAAATAAATAAATAAATAAATAAATAAACTTAAAAAAATAACAAAAAACTGAAATCATAACCAGTGAAAAAGATAAAAAAAAAAGTTACCTTTTAAAAATTGAGTTTTAAAATTAAAAATATGTTCCCCTCCTCATTAGAATCAAACACATTAGTGTTTGTAAGTTGGTTTCAGTTCTGCTTGAGAGTACGGGCCTTCATGCCATTTACCTACCTTCCAAGTTACAGAGCAGGTAGGTGACAGCAAGCAAAATTCCCATTAAACAGATGCAGTAACTGAAGCCCCGAGTGCTGTAAGATTTTGGGCTTTTCCTCTTAAGTCGTACTTCCGGTTTAGAAGAACGGGAGGAGTGTTTTTTTTTTTTTTTTTTTTTTTTTTTTTTTTTTTTTTTTTTCCTCTTCAGAATCCCAGGTTTTGCACATAAGCAGCTGTTGCTAATTGATTTTTGCTATTGCCCCATTCTCAGTTGTTGTGTGGAAATTCCCAGATAATTCTGGAAGATCCCACCACGGCAGGCCTGCTTTGTCATGCCCACAGGAGGTGCCCCTGCTGCTGCTTTGGCCTGCCAGTGTCTGTGCTGAAGTCAAAGGCCCTGAGGATAGAGAGTACCTACGTCTGTCCCAGAGTCTCTGCTGACACCAGTCGTCCCAGCACCCCCGTGTTCCTCAAGTCCTCAGAGAACGCAGCGTGAGAACCTCATCTTGTTTTTCCTCGCCCTTTTACTGTAGTCCGCTCGTGCCAGGACATAGACATGAGTGTCACGAAGAGGACAGTCAGGCGGATAGTCAGAGGCACGGGCACCAAGCTTGTACCTTGAATCAGCTCTCGGCACCACCAGCTTGGCTTGTAAATGTCTCCATTAGGACTTAGCGTCTTCCCAGGAGGGTCCAGACAAGCCAGAATCTAGGCTGCATGCAGTTGGGTCTAAGCCATGGTCCTGATACGCTTCCAAAATTGTTATGACAGACTCCTGGATCCGCAAAGAATCCACAGACCAGTGTATCAGGGTCAGGAGGGCTCCAAAGTAATATGTAAGAGGAAAGCAATCTGATTAAAATGGGTATGCTTTGTAATGCTACTAACAGCTAGCTTTCCCCGGCATATTAGTATCTTAAAGAAGGAATCTTGGTAGCTCAAATGACTCTCTAATTGCTAAAACTTGAAGCAGTCAGAGGGTTTTTTAGATGGTTGGAGAGAGAGGGGGGATTTCCTCTTAATTCAGATCCGTTAGGCAATAACCTACTTTGATTGTCAGCAAAGTCCACTCAAATAGCCACGAAGTACTTTTGCTCATTCTTTACATTTTTTGAGAATCTGTAGCATGTTATTTGGCTGACCTGTAGAGTAGAGGCACTGAGTCCAAAATAGTGATGAAAAGTGTAACAAATGTTTGTGTTCAGGCTTTTTATTGAAATGTGCCTGAGTTGGTAGTATATTATTAATACAACATTTCCCCCTTTCCAAAGTCATGGATTTATTCATTCATGTAGCCTTATTTACTCTGGGGGGAGGGTGCATAAAGAGCACCTGGCACATAGTAGGAGCTCAAAACATATTAGTTACTTGGGTGGGTGAATGCAAGTGTCTGTTGGTGACAATGCCCAGTCACTGAAAAAACGGCAGATTCGGGAACGAAAGCTGTTCCATTTCTTGTTGGCAAAACACGTGCACAATCCAGAGATGCAGAAAGACTTGTCTCTTCATCTCTTTTTACTTGGGACTTGCTTCCAGCAGCGCTAGAGATGCTTTCACAAAAGGACTTGTGTTCTGCCAGTAGGAAGTTTACTTCTGTTTCTTACGTGCTGTACGGGCGGCTCAGAAATGCTATAGGTCTCTCACATGTTTGCTTCGAGGGCAGATCTCATCAGTCAAAATAGGAGTTTTTAAAACAAGTGTTTAGGGGCACCTGGGGGGGCTCAGTAGGTCAAGAGTCTGCCTTTGGCTCAGGTCATGATCTCATGGTTTGTGAGTTCGAGCCCCACGTCAGGCTCTGTGCTGACGGTATGGAGCCTGCACGGAGCCTGCTTCGGCTCCTCTGTCTGCCTCTCTCTCTCTCTCTCAAAAATAAATGAACATTAGGGGAGTCTGGGTGGCTCAGTTGGTTAAGCCTCTGACTTCGGCTCAGGTCATGATCTCATGGTTTGTGAGTTCAAGCCCCACATTGGGCTCTGTGCTGACGGCTCAGAGCCTGGAGCCCGCTTCAGATTCTGTGTCTCCCTCTCTCTCTCTCTCTGTCCCTCTTCTGCTCCTGCTCTGTCTCTCAAAAATAAATAAATGTTAAAAAAAAATTAAAAAAAAACATTAAAATAATGTTTAGGGGTGGCTCGGGGGCTCAGTTGGTTAAGCATCAGACTATTTCTGCTCGAGTCATGACCCTAGGGTTGCGGGATTGAGCTCTGTGTCCGGCTCCGTGCTGAGCATGGAGGTTGCTTAAGATTCTCTCCCTCTTTCTGCCTTTGTTGCTATCCCCTTCTCTCTCTTGCTCTCAAATAGATAGATAGATAGATAGATAGATAGATAGATAAATAAAGCATTTAAAGGGGGAAGCAGGAAGGGCATTGGATTTAGGGTGTTGTCCAATGGGTCACTTAAAAATGCCCTTTGAATCCTGTGAGGTGTGAGGTAATTTGCGCTCTCGTCTGATGATGACTTTTCCTAACACATATACGTTGCATCGACTGGGCGTAACCGAGTTGCTATATTCATGGCTTCTGCTTGGTATCAAATGGAATAAAAACTATGGAAGTTGAGATAGATTTGCTGTGCAGGCCGACTGCAGTCTGAGTTGTTAGTGTGGAGGAATCCTTACGTGATCTAACATTGTATGTAAATATCTCACAGCCATCATTTGTCGGGAATGACAGGCCCACGTTCCCCTGTCTTGAGGTGAGTCACATAGTCCAGGCCTTTCCAGAGCAGGAGAGGACAGCCTGCCTCTGCCTCCTACTCCTAGAAGCCTAGTGGGAAGGCCAGGAAACTGTCATCAGAGCTGAATGAGGCCCCTTTAGGAGGGTTCACCTTTGACTTTTTCATGACCACCTTCCCACTGAAATGCCATTCTGTGTTTCTGACACTTGACTGGTCCCGTCTCCTAGAGTGCCCGACCCAACACATTGCTGATGACACAAGCCGATACCTGCTTGACCTTTGGCGATGGAATCTCCACGTAACCCTTTACATTTTGGGGACGTTTACAATTGAAGAAGCATTTTCGTGTCCTCGTCTCATTTGATCTTTACACCAAAAACAACCAGAGGGCAGTTATGTGGTATGCACGCCCGGCACTAGTCTAGAACCTAATGACCCATTGTATCCGTATGACGCTACCCATCTAATACACAAGCTACACATCGTTCCCGTTCCCATTTATACAGGAGGATATGAAGCACAAAGGCATTACGTAACTGGTCTAAGATTCTGGCTCTGTGAGCATGACCTATGGAAGATCAAGTAATGGTGCCTGGATCGTAGTCGGTAAATACTTGTTGCTGAAGGAGGTAAACAGAGGGGAGATGGGACAATGATATCTCATTGCATTGCAGAGGAAGCATTGAACTTCATCCTAGCCGTTTTCTACCATCTTTGCTTTCCCTTGCCGCCTGCCCATGTATTCGTGGCATCCCCAGCTCTGGATACACCTCAGCTTCGTGGATTCCTGGCTCTTTATCCCAGCCAGGAAACCTGCCTGCTTATATTTTAGGCCCAGGCCATCCTAGCTGATGGTGAACAGTTGGTGGGAATAATGTTCCTAATTGAATCGCAGGCCTATGGCTAAGAATGGCTAAAAAGAACATATCCTGAGGCAGTATGGTGTTGTGGTCAAGAGTGTAGACTCTGGGATGGGCGATGTCTGGACATGACCCCCTGGTGCGGTGACTTACCAACTCCTTAACCTTGGGAAGATCTTTTAAACCCCCGGGCCTCAGTTTCTTCATCAATAAAGGCCAATAGTGACAGAACCAAGGCTATTATATGGTTCAATTAGCTAGTGCATAAAGCACTTAAAATGTGCCCAGAACATAGTAAATTCTGGATGAACATGGGCTATTATAATAGATAATAGGAAATTACAGAAGAAATGATTAATTATAACCTGTGTATTTTTAAAATTGTGGGTATTTTGATTTGGGGTGCTTCTTTCATGTAATCCAGGTCTACCAGTTGATGGGGTAACTGTCTCTTATCTTTACTGAGAAAATTCCTTCTCCCACTAGTTATGAAATAGGAACTAGACAAAAATTCTCAAGAGTTCTATGTGACTGCTTTGTTAGAAAAGAACAAATGTAGGGGCGCCTGGGTGGCTCAGTCGGTTAAGCGGCCGACTTCGGCTCAGGTCACGATCTCGCGATCCGTGAGTTCGAGCCCCGCGTCGGGCTCTGTGCTGACAGCTCGGAGCCTGGAGCCTGTTTCAGATTCTGTATCTCTCTCTCTCTCTCTCTGCCCCTCCCCTGTTCATGCTCTGTCTCTCTCTGTCTCAAAAATAAATAAACGTTAAAAAAAAATTTAAAAAAAAAAGAAAGAAAGGAACAAATGTAAAAAAATAATCCTGCAAAAGCAAAATGCATGTCTGCTTTCTAAAAAGGTCTCTATAGATTCTTCTTCATCTGCCAAATTTGATCCTAGTTTTATGCCATGAAAAGCTTCACAGCGCTCGCCTGGCATTGACACTGAATCCCAACATCTTAAGGTTGAACTAGACCCAAAAGTCATCCTTCACCAGCAACGAAACATGAAATATTTAGGAGATCTTTTTAATATTTTAGGTACTCTCATCAAAATGGGGTTGTGTCACTTATTTGAATTATGCAACTAATTGCCTTAATTAAAAAGAAATAGAACTCCTCTTGGCAAAATGGATGATAGCACAGTGTCAAAATTTGTTTCTAGAAAATCAGAAAAATGGAAAAATAACTAGAAATTATTTTAGGGAGTGCTCTTGTGACAAAATAATTTTTTTCAGGTTATAAAGGGTAAACAGCCATGCATAAATATTGTTGTTCTACAATATTGTCTTGTAACATTGAGGAAGTTATTTAATCTCCTTGTGCTGCGTCATCTCATCTATAGAATGATAGTGATAATGATGTCTGCCATCTAGGGATACAGGATTGTTTTGAGGATAAAATGAGATAATTCAAGAAAAGATTTTAGCAGAACAATTGGCTACTAAATGTTCAGTATGTTACTAATATTCTCCCAACTTTGTGAAAATGTAGGTAAGTTATTTCATAGGTATTGACTGAAGAGGAGAAATGGAATCATTGTGTTTTGTAAGCCAATTGAAATATTAGTGTTTGTGCTTTGATCAGAGGAAATTGCTGTAATATTCACCACTGGAAGCAAAGGGGAAAAAAACAGGAATCTGCTCCATCAAAACCATGCTTTCAATAGTGCTTTAAACAGTTCCATTGGAATGTAAGTTCCATCATGGCAGAGATTTTTGTGTGATTTGTTCACATCTGTATTCCTAGAGCCTAGAACAATGACTGTACATAGTAAGTGCTCAATAAACATTTGTTCAGTAAATGAATCTGAGTGCCCATCAAGGAGTCCTCCTAGACCAGTAGCTTCTCATAGTGAATCACAAAGATCGTGATGTAAACTTTGTGTGTACACACACACACACACACACACACACTAGCTTCTATATCCAAAAACAAAGAACCCTTTATGTCTTCCAATAACTCTTTATATTTCATCTTCACTGTCTCTGAATTTGAGAACAATGACTTATTTTAGGTAATTCTTCACTTGGATGGAAGCTCTGCCTGGTTTTACTGAGTAAGCTGACCTGATAGAATGAGATTTGCTCATGAAATTTTGGTATTGACTGTCACCACCAGCGAAACATGAACTTATCCAAACGCAAGGGTCTCTTGCCCATGGCATAGTGTTGGGGGGGGGCAGCTGTTGGAAAGTACTCTTTATTTCTAAACCATGTAATAATAAAGAAGACATAATCTAAAATTTTTTGCTAGCGTGTGTCTAATAGCATTATAAAATGTGTCTAATACTGTGTTTAGCATTAAGGAGAATGGTCTAAGTATCTCATTGTCTCTCCACAAAGAGTTTGCATTATAATGGGGAAAATGTTCATCAGAAATGAATACCTAATAATGTTCAAATTACATAGTAAAACCTAAATATGACCTCAGAGAAGGAGAATCTGTTAGGGGCTGGAGGGATTGGGGAAAAAAAATCATGAAGGAAATAGGGACCTGCGTTAGTTTTTCCATGATGATGGTGGAGGAAACAATGGGAGAAAAATTAGAAAGTGGACAAATTAATAATTACCTTTTCTTTGTGGATGCAGCAGAGAGTGAGCAGACCCAAATGTCTAGAACAAAGAGGTAATTTGGTATTGAGGGAAATGTTGACTGGATAAGGACCTGGTTTCCAGGATGAGAATATTAGTTAGGATCCTGAATTCTTGATGCAGTGCCATTTTTGCAGGATTTTCTAGGAATTAGAGCCAGAAGATTTTGTAATTTAGATAAATACATGCATTTAGTTATATGTTAAGACTTTAACTTTAAAATGTTACATGGTCTCCTACCTGGGGAACTTGTTTGAATACTATGGAAACTTCCAGATGCCGTTGGATGCCAGATGCCATGCAGTAGCATGCCCTGTAGCTTGGTGAACAGCTGACTTCGTCCCTGTTTAAGTCCAGATTAGAGGCTGACCTGAGTGGTTTGTTTCTCATTCCTAACCATGTACTGCTAGGCTTTCCATGGCTGAGGGTGGCTTATAATCATGAGGTAGCCCCAGGCCCATCTTAGAGTAGCGAATGCATTTGGTGAAAGAGGCTAATCCAAGAGGACCGATTCAAGAGCGTTAACTCCTGACCATAGAACGTTTAGAGAAAAACAGGAGTGAATGAGCTTAATGTGCCTAGCTCTTGACAGAGAAAGCACATTAATGGAAAATTCGGTGGAGTTAGAACGAAGTCTTGAGTTTATTTATTCTTCTCACTGGCTCCCCCACCCCCGTTTTCTATGACAGCTTCATTCTCTAACATTAAATATGTCATTTAGTGCCTAACTCATGTCAGAAGGCCTCCTTCCTGGGAGTGTAATAATAATGGATAATGGGTAGCTATTGTAGTATTTTCAATAGGGGATTAATACAGGGAATGCAGTGGTTTTAAGATTGCTTTTCATTTGCAGAATGGATCAGATGAGGAGAGGTTAATAAGAGGCAAAGCAGAAGCTACTGTTCTAGGCTAGGAAGTAGCCTAGAAAGTCTGGGCCATGCATCGGAGAGAAAAGAATAAATTCAATAAATACTTTTAAGTAAGAATTTATGAGACATAATGACAAGTCATGTGTAGGTAAGAAAGGGGAAAGAGGAATGAATTAAAGTTGTCTCCAAGACTGCTAACCTGAGAGAGAAAAAGAATTTATGATGCCATATGTGAAATAAAGCTGCTTTTTGTTTTTTTGGGGTTTTGTTTGTTTGTTTTTTGTTTTTTTTTGGTGGGGATGTGAAATGCTTTTGAGACATTCAAATGTCTTACTTATGAGCATTTGGAAATTTGGAAATTGACTTCAAGTTAGAGCAGTGGATCCCAAATCTGATTGTTCTCCCAAGAAATGTAAAAAGTACAAATTATCAGTCCTCTTCCTAGACCTATTAAAGTCTGGTAGAGATGTCCCTATGAAACTAAATTTTTAAAGACTTTCCAGGAGAAAAAAACCCCAAGTATTTCTTATGGAATAATTGCAAATAATATATGTAGATTTTCCCCCAAGTAGGGAGTAGAGATTAATTCCTTGCTCCTTTTGAGTGTAGGCTAGTTTTAGTGACTTGTTCCCAAAGAATAGAGTATAAACAGGAGAAAGAAAATGGTATCTTCACAGTGTAAAAATCTGGCAAATGCTACTTTAACTAAGTGGCCAGGATTAACGTAACAGGGTTAATGACGTCCTATAGCTATCATGTATCTTTCGTATAATGTGATGAGGGAACACTTCTCTTTAGTGTTGTTCCTAAAATCCATAATCCCAGTCCAATCATTACAAAAATACCAGTCAAACCCAACATTGAAGGGAATTCTACAAAATACCTGACCAGTACACATCAACTTTGTCAATGAAGTCATAAAACTAGCAAAACAAAGCACAGAAAGAACGAGAACCTGTCACAGACCACAGGAGACTAGGAAGCTTGACAGAGAGAAAGCACATTAGTGGAAACTTGGTGGCATTAGAACGAAGTCTTGAGTTTAGTTCACAGTAATATACCAATGTTGGTTCTTCATTTTGATAAATATACCACCTCGAATGATGACATTAGAAGAAAGAAAAGTGGGTGAGGGGAGTACAGGGGTACAGGAATGCTCTGTATTTGCAACTAGTCTATAAACCCAACATTATTATGAAATAAAAAGTTTAGTACAAAAAAAAAAAAAAGAGGCTTTATAGGAAATTCTAATGGCTACCTAGTTTGGACAGTCACCTGGTCAGAAAATACGGCTAAAAGCATAAAGTAATTATTTAGCTGATTATAATTTCAGGATCTACCACAGTGCCTAGCACATGATAAATTCTCAGCCAATATTTATTTAAATACTGAGTCCATGGGTATTTTGTGATATTGTCTGGCATTGTGAAAAAGAATACCAAGGCAAAATCATAGCGATAGAAAGTAGAATGGTGGTTGCCAGGGGCTGGAAGAGGCGAGAATGGGGAGTCATTATTTACTAGGTAAAGCATTTCAGTTTTGCAAGATGAAAAAAGTTCTAGAGAGGGATGGCGGTTATGGTTGTACAATGGTATGAATATGTGTAGTAGCACTGGGCTGAACACTTAAAGATGGCTAAGATAAAGAATTTTATGTTATGTGTGTTTTACCACAATAAAAACATTTGGGGAAAAAAAAGACTGAGAGTAGAGTGCTGGGGGCACCAATTTTTGTGGTGTGGGAGACAGGAAAAGGGTTGGCAGAGTTGAGTGAAAAAGGAAGGACAAGTCAGGAAGCCAAGAACGGGGGTGGCTTTTAGATGGAAGATTTGGGAAGGTCAACCATATCAAATACTGTGGAGGTGGAGGAGGCTGAGGATCAAGAAGATGCCACCGGTGGGTGAGCTATGAGGAAATCACTGGTGCTCTTAAAAAGTCCGAGACAAGACACTGGTGGTAACTGAAGACCCCCCCACCCACACACACACACATGACTGAGAGGATAGAAGTTGAAACGGTGGGTAGAAAAGACAAAAGTTTGGCTTATGAGAGCCGATTTCACCCCACTGAAAAGTTGTCTCAACAAAGGTTTCCTCTGTGCAGTTCAGAGGGCACAACTTGGATTAATGAACTAAAATTCCAGGAAGACATCTCTCACCTTAATTTTCTCTCGTGTGGAGCTTTGAAAAAAGTGGAATCAGCTGCTTGGGATGTGGTGGCTTCCCATGCCTGGACATGTTTATGGTCTGCTTACGCTTATGGAAGTTGTGTAAAAATGATTCCCGAGTTAGGTAGGAAGTGTGTCAAATGACCAGCAAGGGTTCCTGTGTCTCTGTGAACATACATCATGTTACTGCACTTTGGGAATGCTTTGGAGTTTGGAAGATAGGGTTTTAAATCAAGACACTGCCAGAGGACCTCTCTGAGAAGAGAAGAGGCGGGACACTCGGAGCCTTGTGAACCAATGGTGTTGAATTTTGAAAAGTAGCTTGAGTTTTTCCTTCCTAAACTGTATTCAGCGACCTGTCTTCTCATGAATGGAGATATCGAGGTTAACATCATCAGTGATGTCATGTGGGTATCATGTACTCGTCACATGATGTAATAAGAGGATATTTTGGGATTTAGAACCAATCCCATGCCCAGGCTATTTTGATCTTCTATTTTACCATTTATTAGCACAGTGATTTATCAGTGGGGATCTGATTATGAATGCAAAAAAAAAAAAAAAAAAAAAAAAAAAAAAAAAAAAAAAAAAAAAAAAAAAAGAAAACCCAAAACCTCTGGCATAACTTTAACTGATAAATTATATTGACAAAAGTTTCAATTGTGATTCTTTCAGGAGACACATGTCTAACATTGCCATCCTTTGTTAGGAAACATCTGTGTGAAAATCCTGTAATCACTTTTAGATACCTGACAATTGTAATGGAGGGTACAAACAGTGATTGAATGTGTGATTTAGATGCGAGAAGAAACTACACCCAAGAATAAGCTATGCTTCCCGTTTGCCTTTGCAGAAGCCCAACAAAGGAAACCCGTCCCTTTTTCTTACTGTGTCTATCCATCAGCACTCACCACTATTAAATACTTCTTAAGTGGTTTTCTAGACTGGTCAGATCCTTCTGTTGGGAATCTGTCTTTCAGGATGTGGTGAACAGACACTACAAAGCTTCGTCTGGAAATATGTGGTGTGACCATGTCTTAATGCATCTTATTTTCCTAGGTCACACAAGGAAATCAATTGAATTATTGCACAGTCACACCATGCACATCAAGAAGGCCCTTGTTCTTAATACCCTTGGTGGAATTCTTCCCTCCAGCTGGACAACTTTACTCATTATCTCCCAAACACACTACACTCATTTCTATGTCATTGCCTTTGATTCAGTTTAGTTCCCAATCTCTGAAACTTTTCCCTATGATTTCTCCAGCTTAACACATTGCCTCTTTTTGGGGTTCCAATAGAATCTGTTTTCTATATGCCTGACACTTAAACTATATGGCCTAATGTTTCTTTCTTTCTTTATACTTTTAGTCTCTGCAAATAGTTTTATTGGTAAAGAAAATAATTTATTAATGTTAAGTTGGATTGGCTTTCCCTAACGCATTTTTAAGACCCTAAATTCTGGGGCTTTTTCAGGTTGGGTAAGCATCTACTCTAAAATTCTATGTTCTTTTCCTTACCATTATTAAAGTTTGATGACTGTTTCGTCATGGGTCAGAGACTGTGTTATCACTAAATCCAGAGGCCAACTCCACATTTTCTCCTCATTTTGCAATCGGATAATCCTCCCTGATAACAAATTGTTCTTTTGGTTGGTTCCTTTCGCCTCCTCTCTATGGACTACTATGGAAATTCAGTGAGCCAAGAGCTTTTCATTTAAAGTATTATAATGTCTGACTGTCTGGAATGGTCTTATCATAAAGGAATGGGAATCAAAAAGTCAAGTTTTGACAACTGATGATTTCTAAGAAACTAGCTCTAGGTTATTATGGGGCTCCCATTCAATTTAGTCATTGTCACAGATTTAATAATGGTCATGGTGAGAAAAAAAGAGGTTGATTTACTGGCAAAGGCATTATTGTAGTGTTGACAGTTTTCAGATATATTAGTTAGTTTATGTGTGACAGGTTGTTAAATTATTTCCCTCTCTGGGCTTTAAAATATGAGACTGTGGAGTACTCTTATCAAAAAAGTGTTATCCATCATTCCTTAGCCTTTCTTAAATAACAAGATACTGTTTCTGCCATTTGGGGTAAAATTTTACATTGGAGAAGGATAGAGTTTATATTTTAGTTTCTTAATTTTGAATGAACATAAAGTATTTGTGAGGACCCCCTTATTTTTTTCTGTCCTATCACTGCTTCTCTTCCTAGCTCTGAAAATCCAGAAGCCTGTCCTTGAGTTTTGTAGCATATGCAGTTTTCCAGGTGATTTGAGAGATCTTGGAAAAATACATCCTTATCTTAGAACATGTCTTTCCGTGAGATGTCCTGATGCCCCAAATCCTCACTGTCCTGGGACGCAGATGTTACATCCCTCTTAAGAGTCTTCGACTATTTCCCTTGTCTCTGCTCAACTCCCTACCCATGGCAGACTGCCGTTCTTTTTTCTTTTAAAGTAAGCGTTTGTGTTTTTTTTTAATGTTTATTTACTTATTTTTGAGACACAGAGAGAGAGAGGCAGAGAGAGAGGGAAATAGAGAACCCCAAGCAGGCTCCACATTGTCAGTGTAGAACCCGATGCGGGACTCAAACTCATGAACCATGAGATCGTGACTTGAGCTGAAAAAAAAAGTCAGATGCTTACCTATCTGAGCCACCCAGGCACACCTAGGTTGCCCTGTTTTTGGACTTGGATAACACCATGTCCCAGGACATCAGTTCTGGCCTCTCATTCAGCAAGGGCCAGAGATGGAAGGAGTTAGCACTCATTATAGGGAATTTTGTCCAGGAAATGGGTGATGAAAGTGATTGAGGCAGATAAATTTCTCCTTCATTCTTTTTTCCATGATCTACTTCAAGATGCATTCTTGAAAAATGCTTTGTATAGCTTATGTGTGAGTGAACATGTTGTCTGAGCAAATTTCAGTGTCTTTTTGTGGTGCAACTTGGAGCTGCATCAGGGTGATGAGTACACACATTGCATTCATTGCTTTGCCTTCTTCTTTGCTTCATTTCCTTTTTTTTTTTTTTCATTATCATGACCCCAGAGCATGTACCTCCCAAATAAAGTCATAATCCCTTCATTTGTATCTCAGACTTTGCTTTCTAGAAGACTCAGGTTGAAGCACTTGATTTTAGAGTATTTGAGTTAAGCCATTTCTCTCCTTGTATATCTGCACTGAAAGCAAATACATTTGGAAAAGAAATTATATTTATTTATTTATTTTTCAATGTTTATTTATTTTTGGGACAGAGAGAGACAGAGCATGAACGGGGGAGGGGCAGAGAGAGAGGGAGACACAGAATCGGAAGCAGGCTCCAGGCTCTGAGCCATCAGCCCAGAGCCCGACGCAGGGCTCGAACCTATGGACCGCGAGATCGTGACCTGAGCTGAAGTCGGACGCTTAACCGACTGCGCCACCCAGGCGCCCCAAGAAATTATATTTAAAAGCTATCCTCTATTTGGAGGAATTTCAGGCCAGGACAGAGATTCTGGTTTATAGGAGGGCAAAACAACAAATGGAAAAAGAGGTAGTTAACAAAACATGCTGGAAGAGAACACTAATGTCAAACTTCACCTATTTCAGTTTTTGTCTCAGTCAACCACAAGCCCATGGTGATAAACATCATTCCATTCCCTAATAGTTTTTTCGACTGCATGTTAAACATTATTTCTTTTTTCACCTTAGAAAATTCTCTCTGTATAGTACGCATACTCAGGATTCTGTTTTTCTTCTTGACAATGAAGATACAATGAGAAAATCCCCCAGATCCTGATAGCTTTTACTCTGAATGTTGATTAAAACTTCGAACTCTGTCGAGCCCCGCGTCGGGCTCTGGGCTGATGGCTCGGAGCCTGGAGCCTGTTTCCGATTCTGTGTCTCCCTCTCTCTCTGCCCCTCCCCCGTTCATGCTCTGTCTCTGTCTGTCCCATAAATAAATAAAAAACGTTGAAAAAAAACCAAAAAACAAAAAACAAAACTTCGAACTCTGTATGAACTTTATTTTTTTTAATTAGAGATATGATTGATAATCCACTTGGTTGTTAGTACCATCCCAAGGATCTGCCTTTATCTATTGTTTTTGTATCACTGAATCACTTAACCAACCAACTGAATCAGTAATCCCAACAGACATACACAGTGTGCTAAGTCAGGAGCAGAAGTGTCCTGAGAATACAAAGAAGCATACAAGTAGAAGATGCCATATTTCTATTCATCAATTAAAAATTCTGGAAAGGAACAGTGCGGGGGGAAGGCCAACATACAGTTTTGCCTCGCTAAGTACATACATATAATTACACTGTAGGAATGTGGTGTGGTATGCATACATATATGTGTATGTATCTTTTGTACTTTATTTCATAACCATGTTTTATACATGGATCAAATCACAGCATAGGTGTAGAAAAATGTCAATATCCACTTATGAGAATGATAATTTACTGTTTTACCAGAGGAATTAGAATTCTCTTTTTTACTTCAGGTCTTTATAGCTGCCACCGTGTGGAGTACCTACCCTGTGCCAGGCGTTACCAAGGTTAATAATTCATAATTTGTTTTTCTTTAAGCACATAGCTCTATCTCTACCATGTAAGTTACTTACAGTTTACAGATGGAGACCCTGAAGTTCAATGTTCAGTGTCTTAATCATAATCACAAAGCTAGTGATGAGAAGGTGTATCCAGGATTCAAATGCAGTGCCATTTGACTCCAAACTTACTCTTTCCCCATTAATCTGTACTGCTCCTTTCTAATATAAATAGAATTTTAGGGATTTGACTATGAAATATTCTTCCAGTTTCTGCTTACATTCGTAGATTGATAAGTTCTCCTCTGACTTACAGTTGGATTCTCTTTCTCTTTCTTTCTTTCTTTCTTTCTTTCTTTCTTTCTTTCTTTCTCTCTTTCTTTCAAGAGGAAAAGAGGGTGCAAGTGAGTGAGGGGCAGAGAGAGAGAGAGAGAGAGAGAGAGAGGGCAAATTCCATGAGGGGCAGAAAGAGAGAGAGAAGTGGGGCTTCCCTAAAGCAGGGCTCACCCAAAGCGGGGCACGAGCTCTCCAGAAGCAGGACTCGAGCTCCCCAACAGTGAGATCATGACCTGAGCTGAAGTCAGACACTTAAACTGACTGAGCCATCCAGGCACCCCTACAGTTGGACTTTCTAGTGGGGCATGGAGTGTGGTTCAAATCCTAAAATCAGATATATATGATGTCGTAAGAAATCATTGGATTTGAAGTTGTCCTACATCATCAGAATACAGATGAATGGCCATTTTGTGATAATGTTATATTTTTTATTTTTAAAATATAAAATGCACTTGGCTCTAAAAATGGAAAATTCAGCTCAGAGATGAGGCAAATACAACACACATGACTGTTTAGGTTGGTCACATTTGATTTTTTGAAATAGTTGACCCAGCTGGCATATAACTTACCTCAGCATTTAGCAGTTAGCTAGGAGACAGTGGGTCATGCTTCTTGTCAAGCTGTGTCTCTTTCAATGCTTATATTGTTCCCAATGACTTCATTCTCCGTGCTGGCTGACAGGGATAATACTTTTAGTAAATTCAGTCATTTTTAATTTGAGCATCTTGTAAATGGAGCTTTGACGCACGAAAGTAGAATTGGGTGCTTTTCTTTTTTTATCTTTAATGTTATGAGTACGGTGGATATTTAAAAGCTAGCACCAGAAATACTCAATTTCCAGTCACTTTGCAAACAACTGATCTAACGTTATTTTGTTTTGTTTTGTCTTTATCGCGTTAATGCATCTTTCAGAAATTCTGCCGGCCACATGAAGTAGGTTGGATGAAAGAATAAAAAAGGAAAAAGACTGTGAAATATATGAATGATAGGTGACATCTAATACAGTTTTAAAAGGGACATCTAAAAAGTTTAGAACTATTTTTTAGGTAAAAAGTAAAATATGAAACAAAACAGAACAATGACAAAAAAGAACAAATAGACCATCAATATACCACTTCCCAGTAGTACAAGAGATTTAGCAGTTTCCTTTAATTGTACGGAGACTAAAACCCCCGTGTTTAATCAGACAGCCAAAAATGGCCAACGTGCTATGGGGCTGCATTACCAGAAATAAGGTGCCCTCAATTTGGGGGCTGAGAGCCCTATTCTACTCTGTCTTTGCCAGACCATGTGAAATGGCACCTTGGTTTGACCTTACATATAGAGGACCGTGGCAAGGCTTATAAGGGTCTTGATGATGACAGGGAAAATGTACTTGAAGGATCCAGGATGTTTAGCCTGAAGAGAAATTCTTTCAGGGAGACTTGATAGCTGGTTTCAGATAGATGAGAATCTGTCATGGGAAAGAGTAGATTTATTCCAGGTGATTCTAATGAGCAGAGTAAAATTACAGGAAGGCAAAACCCAGCTTCACATAAAGAAGCATTTATAGAGCTTAAGACATAGGTGGTTAATAAACGTTTTAAAAAAGATTTTTTTTTAATGTTTATTTTTGAGAAAAAGAGAGAGAGAGAGAGAGAGGGAGTGCACAGGGGAGAGGCAGAAAGAGAGGAAGACACAGAATCAGAAGCAGGCTCCAGGCTCTGAGCTGTTAGCAGGAGATCATGACCTGAGCCAAAGTCGGATACTTAACCAACTAAGCCACTCAATAATCTTTCTGAATGAAGGAAGAACTGCAGTTGAAAGAATGGATGGATGGTCTCATTGAAGTGGACTGCCTTAGAAGAGAGTGAATACTCTCTCTACTGAAATTTTAAAGGCCAACTTGATGAACTCTCCCAGAGGATGATTTTAGTTGGTTGGTAGGATATTTTAATACGTGTAAAATTCTTACTAATTCTGGAACTGAAATTTAACAAAATTTGTGACTCTTCTGAATGAAAATCTTGTTATGTTTTCCACATCTGAGTACGATATTTTCTTTCATTTTCTCTAAAGTAGAATCCATACTTTCTCTGATGCAAATAGGGATTATTTTAATAACATGTTGTTTTAAACAAATTCTTTTACTCTATTATTTCATTTAATTTTAATGAACTAGATTATTGGATGGGCAGAGAACCTATGATTCTAATTTTTCTTGAGGGAAAAGGTCAGGAGAGGTTGCTAATTAGCTCAAGGTCACATAGTGAATTAATGACTGAGTTCAATGATCTTTCCGTAAGATAATGGGACTCTCCTTAAGAAAATTTTTAAGAAGCCAAAATTCGAGCCTTCAAGGTTGTGTGACTGATTTATATTAAAACAACACATTCAAAGTGAAAGCTGTATTTCATATTTCATATTTTTATATTTCTAAAATATTTCATATTTTTAGAGAAAAAATATTAAAACAGGTTGGAGAGATTGCAATGGTTCTCAACCAGGTCAATTTTCCCCCCAGGAACATTAGGCAATGTCTGGAAATTTTTTGATTGTGACAACTCAGAAGTAGGGGGCGGGGAAGGGGTGGGATGCTACGGGAATTTAGGAGATAAAAGGCAGGACTAATCATCCTAGAATGCACAGCCTCCCATAACACAGAATTATCCAGTGTGAAAGTTGAGAAACCTTTGGATGTTTTGCATCCATTTAAACCAGAACTTGGATTCCTTTGAACAGTGAGGTGAGATGTATAGCACGTAAAATACCTTTAAGCTCTTATTTTCTTTTTAAAAAAAAAAATTTTTTTTTAATGTTTATTTATTTTTGAGACACAGAGAGACAGAGCATGAACAGGGGAGGGGCAGAGAGAGAGGGAGACACAGAATCTGAAACAAGGCTCCAGGCTCTGAGCTGTCAGCACAGAGCCCGACGCGGGGCTCGAACTCACGGACCGCAAGATCGTGACCTGGCTGAAGTCGGACGCTTAACCGACTGCGCCACCCAGGCGCCCCTAAGCTCTTATTTTCTAAAGACTTTTCATTTACTCAGAATAAAGTTATATTTGCCAAATTGCTACCTTTGACTGCCAAGGATTATACGTTGCGGAAGAAGCCCTGCCTTTCAGGCTAAGCATTGTAAATCTTTTCTGCCTCTACTAATAGTCCTTTCTTTGCCTCTTTCCTATACCTTTGGCATCTTTCTATCAATTTTCTATCACAATAAAACCAAAAACAACCGGGGCCCCTAGGTGGCTCAGTCGTTGACCATCTGACTTCAGCTCAGGTCATGGTCTCACGGTTTGTGGGTTCGAGCATCGGGCTCTGTGCTGACAGCTCAGAGGCTGGAGCCTGCTTTGGATTCTGTGTCTCCCTCTCTCTCTGCCTCTCCTCCACTTGTGCTCTGTCTCTCTCTCAAAAATAAATAAAATGTAAAAAAAAAAAACTTAAACCAAAAACAACCCTCTTTTTTTCTTTATATATTGACTGATCTTTTCCCTCTCTTTCTCAGTTTGACATCTTTGAAGAGTCATCTGCAATTATTTGCATACTTTCTATGCATTAATGTTTCTTCCTAATGTTTGTCTTTTGGCATCCCTTATACCTGTGCTTGGTACAGCAATCCAGCGAATCACTCAAGCCACAAACTCCAGTCACTCTAGACTTCTTTTTTTCTCACTGCCTACCTTATCCCACCAGTCACCGAGTCTTCTCTATTTTACTTTGTGACTGAGTCTCGCAGATTCATTTCTTCTTCTCCATACCCACTGCTGCCACCTTTGTGTTAAAGTACTGGTCTTAAAGTAACCTTTCCAAACCAAAAAAATAATTCTGTTGTTTCTCACTTAAAGGTTTTCAATGACCCCAACTTAGGTGCCTAAGAATCCAAAGTAATTAATATGGTCATTTGTTATTACCTACCAGCCCCCGAGCCTTCTCTCCAATCACAATCCCCACCAGACAAACCAGAATAAGTTGGGTTATGCATATTGTGTCTTCTTACAAGTTGTCCCTTTTGTTCAGAATGCCTTGGTCAATTACAACTTTATGTGTCCTTTTCTTTAAAATTAATTTTAGTTTAGGGCTCCTGGGTGGCCCCTCATTGGGCTCCACACTGGCCATGAAGCCTACTTAAAAATTAATTTTATTTTAATTAGTATGTATAATAAATCATCATAATATGTATAATAAATATTTTAATTAAGTTATGTATAATAAATATACATAGATTTTTAAAAGCCCAAGAGTACTAAAAGGTTTATAACCAAAAATAGCATAAAAACTTAAAAAACAAAAACAAAACACACAAAACAAAACAAAACAAAACAAAAACAAACAGCAGATCTTTGTACCAAAGCTTCCTGCCTCTCTGCCTCCTGGAAGCAACCACTTTTGTCTATTTGAAGTGTCTCTTCTGCATTTACCTCCCTCATGCTAAATAACTTGCTTGTAATGCTATTTCTTGGCTTGTCAACTTAAACTTTCCCTACTGAATTTCTCCTCTCCCATAATTTCAGTGGGGTTACCATTAGGGATGCCGCTGAGAACATTGAAAAACCAGCACAGCAAAGATACTGATTCATCGCAACAGTCTCCCCACATGGTGTAGGTGGGCTAATTACTGGCCTTGATTTTATGACAGTTTTTGATGTAATGGATTTAAATAATCCGTGTTTACATCACTATTACCATGTAAGTACTGTCTCCTGCAGAAACAAATAACATCAATGATTATGTCATCTTGCTTACACAATTTTTTTCTTTCTAGAAGTTACTGGTTGATGTTTACAACAATCATTTCTTCCTTCTTAAAACTCACCACAAGCCTCACCTGTTCTATCAAGTCTTTGCAGCTAGGTAGAGCCGATTCTCCATCCTGTGTTACCTCTGTTGTTGTCCTTGCTACATGCACGACCCTTAAAGATTTCTGTGTCTCTCTTCCTCACCAGAATGAGAGCTCCTTCAGGTTAATGACAGTATCTGTTATCTTTGAACCCTCAGTGTCTTGTGCCAGTGCAAAACACAGAATACTTAGTAAATATTTGTTGCATTATGGATGGAACAAGAGTGTCTTTTGTCTTTGAAGCTGCCTTCAGTATTGAGCAAAATGGTTTTGTGCGCATTTCTCTGATTTCTGAGTCACTTCGTATAGATCACAAACTGAAATGCCTGTCAAGATGTAGGCAGTTAAAATAAATGAGTGCGGCCATGTCTGATGGGGTCCGTGGCATTAAACAGGTCACCTGCTGCTTGACTCCGGCTAGTCGCTGCCCGGAAGGTGTTTCAGACCTGTGTTGCCAGCCCTTCTGCTTTTTCGGCGGAAGTAGAAAAATCCAGGTTTGCTACCAACTGCCATGATTCAATTTTTTAAGACTATGCAGACTGAGAACATGATTCCTGGGAGCGGATTTGGTTCGTGGCCACCAGCTTGTGACGGTGGCCTGAAGATTGTGGGTGAGCAGTAGCATAGCACATGCGACTCCAGTGCCTTGTGCTTGGTGTTTGGTTTGCCTGAGCATGGATCATCCCTGGGGGGTCCTCTCCAGGGCTGTCCCCAGTGGTGGCATCCCTTCACCAGCTGACGCCAGCGTGTGGAGTGAGTCGGAACAGAAGAGAGTCTGGGCACAGGCCCCAGCCTGCCAGAATGTTTGAAGGCGCTGGGCAGCGTTTCAGTGGAATCAGGGCTTCCTGATTAGGTGGAAGGCTTCCTGTTAGGTGGAAGTGGAGAATGATGGGTTAAATAATACGTGGTAGAAGAAAGTGCAAGTAGACTAAAAACTGTATACTAGGTGCCAAGCCATGTGCCTTCTCATACGTTATTCAATTTTTTTAAATTTTTATTTATTTTTGAGAGAGAGAGAAAGAAAGAGATATAGAACATGAGTTGGGGAGGGGCAGAACATGAGGAGAAGGAGACACGGAATCCGCAGCAGGCTCCAGGCTCCGAGCTGTCAGCCCAGAGCCCGACGCTGGGCTCGAACCCACAAACCGCGAGATCATGACCTGAGTGGAAGTTGGACACTTAACCAACTGAGCCACCCAGATTCCCCTTATGTTACTTAATTTAATTTTTACAATAACCTCGAGGAGATGGTGTCATCTCCAGTTTGCAGAGGTTGAATCTCTGTAAGATTTAGAGGTTTTTAGTAAAATTCCCGCCATTAAAATAGATTAACACCAGAATTAAGGCTTCCTGATTCTGCCCATGCAGAAAGCCCATGTATGGGATTTTAAAAATGAATTAAACCTATTTTATAATAATAAAGACATGGATTGAAATTTTCTACTAGAAATGGATCCTGGGATCTTTGAATCTGAAAGTTGTTTTCTTCATTTACAGATGGATTATTCATTCCTTCAACATTTGTAGAGTATCTATTGTGTTCTATGTTAGTTACCAGGGTTACAAAGATGCGTAAATATACAATCCCTGTGCTCGGAAAGCGCTAAATGATTGTATGTTTCTGGTTTGTTATAAGTGTGACAGGAGGGTGGCAGGCGTTGGGATAAAAGATATGAAAACTCTAGAAATTTGGTAGCCAAATTGTTTTTTTTTTTTTTTTAATTTGGGAGATACTCCTTTGTTTGTTGTTGTCACAGATAAAATATGCTAGTAGGAAACTGAAAAATGAAAATAAGGAAAATTAAGGCAAAAGTCTCCTAACCAGTGTGAGCAACTCTATGTACTTAATTACCTACCTTTTGATTATCTATCAATACAAACATTTTTTACATTTATCACACACAGATGCAGAAAAACACACAGATCACACTGCATTATTATTCTATAGCCTATTTCTCGTATTTAGGAATATATCAAAATGTTCTATTACTATTTGAATTATGCCTGAATAGTATTTTATTGCATGAAAATAGTTCTATGTATTTAACCAACTCTATCTTGTTAGATATTTAGGGAATTTCCAATTTTTTATAATCTATGTCATAGAGAATTTTTACAGCTAAATCTTTTTATGTATCTTCAATTATTTCCTTAGGAAAGATTACTAGAAATGAAATGACTGGATTTAAGCATTTGTATATTTTTTGAGTTTTTTGCTTTTAGAACATAGAGCACTAAATTGTCCTCCAGAAAAGTAGTACCAATGTATCCATCACCAGTGGATTTGATTTTCCATTTTTATTCACTATTTCAAATGCTAGTTACAACCTTTTTTTTTAACTTTTCTAATCAGACAATTAGAAAAAAGGCTCTATATTGATTCTTTTTGAAAACTCTTTTGGCCTTTGAACTTGCTAGATACTATTGTCCTTTGGTATAATACTCTCACTTCTTATTAAGGTTAATTGGTTGGCTGATTACTTGCCTTACTAGCTTTGGAACACTTTGAAGGTAGAGCATGTCCTATCTGCCTGGGTGTTTCTGGATGCTCGTGGATGTCTGTTGAATTGAGTTGAATTAAAGAAGATGCATAGCTTAGAAACCATTGGCTAGATGGATAAATGTCAATACACCCAGTGGGCAAGTTATTTGATTCCTGCCAGTTACATGATAATGAGTAATTTAAGTGATCATTGGTCACATGCCAGCACTGTGTTAAGTGCTTTGCATCCTTACCTGATTGAATCCTCACAGAAATGCTCTGGAGAAGAGATAATAATTGTCTCTACTTCGGCAATGAGGAAATTGAGAGATTATGAAATTTGCCCAAGGTACATGGCTGTAAAGTGGCAAAAAAGGTCATGAACTCAAGACTAGCTAACTCCCAAGCCCTCTTATCTTTTCCCATCTGCCCTCCCTTACCTTCTCCTCCCCTCTCCAACTTATTATAGATATTTAAATATATTTATACAAAAGTAGATAGAAGAGCATAATAAACCTTGGTTTAGCCAACACCCAGCTTTCGTAATTATCAATATGTGGCCAATCTTGTTTAATCTGTAAGTTTCTCCCTCCCCCTTGCACCCATCTTCTCTTGTTGGATTATTCTAAAATAAATGTTGGATACATTAATTTCATTTATAAGTTTTTAAATATATATCTTTAAGAGATATGGACTCTGTTCTTTGACCTAAACCACAATATTATTAGCACACTTTAAGTTCTCTAGAACAATTCCTTAATATTATCTAATGTGTAGTCAGGGTCTGATTTCCCAGATTATCTCATAAGTGACTTTTTACATTTGACTTGTTTAAATACAATCTGCACATTGTATCCTAAACTGTGCTAACCACAACACAGTATTCCTCTCTCCCCCATACTTTTTCATGAGACCCGTCCTTCTCAACAACAGAGATACTTAGCTGAGGGAAACTCAAACTTTCAAATAATTCCCACAAATTGAATATCTAGTTCACATATCCCAAGAAGGAAGTACAAACACTAGTTAATACCAGAGAAACACTGAGTCTGTTTGGAATGGAGAAAGTACGTTGCCACATGGGTTTGTCATTCATTCTCCCTGGAAGTTCATCAGTGTATTTGTGCAGCGGCTGAGAAGTCTTATTTCTCTGCCTCTGTGATGTCTCCCTCACAAGCTATGGCCAAATCTCTTCACTTAAGATGCATACTTAGTTGCAAGTGTTGCTGGCTTTTAAATTCTGTCTTTGGCATTGAGCTTAAAAAACGAGACGTGCTGGCCTGTGTACCACCCCCCTTCCTGTGGGAGAATGCCTTGGGAATGGAAGGCACAGGCTTGTTATTTTCATAAATGGGTCATGGCTTCGATAGAGTATTTTGCATTGAGGAAATTTTCAAGTTTTCATGCTTGTTTGGTTCTGTTTTGAACTTGAAGGTCTAGTGATCCTCCACTGTGTCGTGGCAGATGGGAATGCAACCAGAAGTCCTGAAAGGGATGGCCTTCTCTGTGGAGATCCTGGGGAAAACTGCGCAGGTAAGGCTTAACACACAGTGCCTTTGTGTTTTACCAGCCTCATGTTCAGTCTTGGAACGTTGATTTCCCTAAGTTTTAATTTTTAATACTACACTAATCATAAGACTGGTTAGTTTTGTGAGCATATATAATGGACCAGGCTCTCTGCCAAGTGCTTTATATACAGTAATGCATTCACTCCTCGCGAGAGCCCTCTGAGCTGGATCATATTTTCGACTTTATTTCAAGGTGAAGTCCAGAAAGATTAAGTAACTTGCCAAAGGCTACCCAGCAGGTAAATTGCAAATCTGGGATTCATACAGGTCTTTCTGATTCTAGTGCTTCCATTTTTAATCATTACATTATTTTAGGTATTGCAGGTGTATGCTCCAGACTCTGGCATGGGATATTTTGGACTGGATGCATACAAAGTTGGCATATTCTATTCAAATTAACTTCTTTCTATTCCATAACTTAAAAGAAGGGAAGAAGGCAATGACTTTTGCATATTTTTGCCCTAGAGATGCTTCAATCAGCATTCTCAAAGTTGTTAGTCTAAAGCAAAGGTGAGCCTTAGTAAAGGGTCAGGTAATAAGTATTTTAGGTTTTGTGGACCATGCAGCGTTTTTTTGCAGCTACTCAAAATTGGCCACTGCACTGTGAAAGCAGCCATTGACACTTTGCAAATGAGTGGCGTTGGATATGTTTCAATAAAACTTTATTTAGAGAAACAGGCTGTGAGCCAGATTTGGCCCTTGCGCCATAGTTTGCTGACTCCTACTTTAAGGTTCTGTCTGTCCTTTATAGATGCAGTGGTCTGTTCTTCTCCAGGATTGTCTCTGATTCAAAACAAAACAAATCAAATCAAAACAACCCAACACAACGCAACACAGGCCAATTCTAAAAGTAGGTGGGAGAGAGATTCCTGTATTCCCTGGAAACGTTTTGGAGCTCGGAGGGTAGTGACCTGGTGTAAGTGCTCCTGTCCTAGCACCCTGGAGAAGTCATAACTGAGCTGGGAACACGCTGAGCAAGTCACCGTGACGTGAGGCATCAGTTCCAGCCCAGTCTTCTGCTTTCTTCCCTCGCGCTAATGGGTGGTCTGGAAAGTGCTTCCAGGCTGTGGAATCTGTTGGTGTCTTAGATCATGCTTGTGTGGGTCTTTTCACTCGCGTAGAGAGAAGAACAAGGCCAGTGTTATGTGTTTGTGTGCTTTTCTTCAGTTGGGTTTTAAATATCTCCAATGATGGCATTTTCACATTTCCCTTGGGAGTTATTGCATGATCCAGTGACTGACAGTTCTAAAAAACTTGCCTCATCATTATCCTAAATGTGTTTCCTATTTTTTTAATTTTATTTTAGTGAGACTATTTAACATGAGATCTACTCTTTTAACAAAATTTTAAGTGTACAACCCAAGATCGTTAACTATGGGCAAGATGTTGTACAGCACCTCTCTAGAAATTATTCATCTTGCATGACCCAGACTTTATACCCAGTGAATAATGACTCCTCATTCCCACCCCCCCACTTGGCCCCTGGCAACCACCATTCTACTCTCAGCTTCTGTGGATTCAGCTGTTTAGATTTTTTTTTTCTTTAATAAGTGGAATCATGTAGTATTTGTCCTTTTATAACTGACTTATTTCACTTTGCATAATTCTTTCAAGGTCCAATCGTGTTGTTGCAAATGGCAAGACTTCCTTCTTTTTTAAGACTGAATAGTATTCCGTGGCTTGCATAAACCACATTCTATTTATCCATTCATGTGTTGATGGATATTTAAGTTGTTTCCACATCTTGGCTATTGTGGATTGAATAGTGCTGCAATAAACATAGGAGTATGTGTGTTTCTTCGAGATTCTGATTTCTGTTCTTTTGGATAAATACCCAGAGGTAGGATTGCTCAATCGTATGGTAGTTCTGTTTTTAATTTTTTTAAAAAACTCCGTACTATTTCCCATAGCAGTTATAGGTTGCCTTGTCAGTCTATTGTTTCTATCCTGTGCAGAAGAATTTTAGCTCATTTAAGGTCACACAGTAAGCAGAGTAGCCTGACATGAATTTGGAGAGACTGACTCCATTGTTAATCACAATGCTAAACTCCTAGAATTGTGGGGGAAGGTCAGAATGCTGAATATGTGAAGGAAATTCTGAAAAATAGTCCTTGAAAGTAAAGCCCAAATAAGGGCAAAATGTTCTTTTTTAAAAAAAAAAAATATTTTAAATGTTTACTTATTTTTGAGACAATGCAAAAGACAGAGTGCAAGCAGCAGAGGGGCAGACAGAGGGAGACACAGAATCTGAAGCAGGCTCCAGGCTCTGAGCTGTCAGCCCAGAGCCCGACGTGGGGCTCGAACTCACGAACTGTGAGATCATGAGCTGAGCCGAAGTCAGACGCTTAACCGACTGAGCGACTCAGGCGCCCCAAGGGCAAAACATTCTTAAAAAGGAATTAATATGGAGTAGGAGAAGATTGTCCTTATTGACTGTGTGACCGTGGGTGAGTCACTCAAGCTTTCAGACATCAATTTGTAATCTATAAAATGAAGGAATAGTTCAGATCATCTTTAGGAGTTGGTCTTTTTTTTCTTTCAATTTTTTCATTTTTTATCTTTTAATTAAAAAAAATTTTTTTTTCAACGTTTATTTATTTTTGGGACAGAGAGAGACAGAGCATGAACGGGGGAGGGGCAGAGAGAGAGGGAGACACAGAATTGGAAACAGGCTCCAGGCTCCGAGCCATCAGCCCATAACCTGAGGCGGGGCTCGAACACACGGACCGCGAGATCGTGACCTGGCTGAAGTCGGACGCTTAACCGACTGCGCCACCCAGTCGCCCCATTATCTTTTAATTTTTTTAGAGAGAGAGCATGCAGGCATGCAAGCAGAGGAGGGGCAGAGAGAGAGAGAGAATCTTAAGCAGGCTCTACACCCAGTATATATCCCAACACAGGGCTCGATCCCACACCCCTGGGATCATGACCTGAGCTGAAATCAAGCATCAGGCAGTCAACCTGAGCTATCCAGGCACCACAGGAGTTATTTTATTTCTAAATGATTTTATTCTTTTATTGTCAAATAGCCCCAATCTCTAAGCATTTCACTTTTAGTTTGTCCTTTTCTATCTTGAGTAAGGAATTTATTCATTCCTACCAATACTTTTGCAGCAGGCTCTGTCCCCGGTACCAAGGATGAAACAATGAACAACATAGTCAAAGATGAGGTCAGAGAGGTAATGCAGAAAGAGAGGTAATGAGTAATGTCATGCAGAGCCTTGCCAGGGATTATAAAGCCTTCAGCTTTGAGTTTTAATAGCATCACTCTGGTGTCTGTGTGCAGACTAGACAGTTAAGAGTGGACAGGATAGAAGCAGGGAGACTAGTTAGATGTTGTTGCCATGGAGACTACTTCCAGCCTAGAGATGCTGTCAGGCTTAGACCAGGCTAGTAGAAATAGAGGGACGATTCTGCATACATTTTTAAATACAGCCAATAGAGTTTTCTGATGAATTGGATGCATAGTAGAAGAGAAAGAAGTCAAAGTGGCTCTAAGATATTTGGCCTGAATAACAAAGAAAGTATCATTTACTGAGATGGAGAAAGACCAGACTTGAGGGAGAAAATCAGGTGTGCCCTTTGGAAGTGTTCATTTGAACTGCCAGTTAGGCAACCAAGTGTTGGTTGGACAGTTGGACACTGAAGGAGGAGATCGGGGATGGAAACATAAATTTGGGAATTGTTACCATAACGGTGTTTAAAACCAGGAAATGCCCAGAAAGGAGTGTAAAAGCCCTGAGTCCCAAAGCATTGCAAAATGTAGAGGTTGGGGGATATAGGGAAGAACCAGCAAAGGAGACTGAGCAAAGGGGGCATTATATACATAAGAGTTCCAAAACATGCACTCGTGAAAAACAAAAGAAACACAAGTTTTCTTCCCGTTCATTGTTCTTTGTTTGCCCCTCAGCTATGAATAATTTTTAATATGCAAATATACACACACATCTACACTAAACTCTTTTTTCTTCCTTTAGAGGGATGGCATGAAAAAGGGCAGCTCTTTTTTGTTTTGTTTTATTATTATTATTTTTTGATTTTTAAATTTTATTTAAATCCAAGTTACTTAGGGGGCGCCTGGGTGGCGCAGTCGGTTAAGCGTCTGACTTCAGCCAGGTCACGATCTCGCAGTCCGTGAGTTCGAGCCCCGCGTCAGGCTCTGGGCTGATGGCTCAGAGCCTGGAGCCTGTTTCCGATTCTGTGTCTCCCTCTCTCTCTGCCCCTCCCCCGTCCATGCTCTGTCTCTCTCTGTCCCAAAAATAAATAAACGTTGAAAAAATAAATAAATAAATCCAAGTTACTTAAGATATAGTGTAAGAATTTAGTGATTCATCACTTACATACAACACCCAGTGCCCATCCCAACAAGTGCCCTCCTTAATGCCCCTCACCCATTTAGCCCCTCCCCCCCAACACCCCTCCAGCAACACTCAGTTTGTTCTCTGTATTTAGGAGTCTCTTATAGTTTGCCTCTCTTATCTTATTTTTCCTTCCCTTCCCTTATGTTCATATATTTTGTTTCTTAAAATTCTACATGAGTGAAATTATATGATATTTATCTTTCTCTGACTTATTTTACTTAGCATAATACCCTCTAGTTCCAACCACGTTGTTGCAAATGGCAAGATTTCATTCTTTTTGATCGCTGAGTAATATTCCATTGTATATACACACCACATCTTCTTTGTCCATTCGTCAGTCGATGGACATTTGGGCTCTTTCCATACTTTGGCTAGTGCTGATAGTGCTGCTATAAACATTGGGGTGCATGTACCCCTACGAATCAGCATTGAAAAAGGACAGATCTAAGTGAGGGCCCACTCCTGTAAGCTGAGAAATCATTGGCCTAATCCTCCTGCTTAAAACACATGCTGACCCATTCTGATTAGCCCCCTATATGAACATATTCTAGTAACACTGGAGGGTTAGCAAGGACATCTGTGAGATCTATTTTTCTTTTCCTGG